GGTCAGACAGATTTAGGGTTTTGGACCCACGAGACCCCATCTACAGTCCATGGGTCGAACTACGGTCCGTAGGTTGGGACCGTAGATCACTCTTACACTTGGGAAAAATTTAGGAGCTTACCTGGGATCTACGAGCACTATTCACGGTCCGTGGATAGAACAACGAACCGTCGATGGGGTCCGTAGACCTCTGCACCAGACCATTTTCTGCAGATTTTTCATAGCGTACCTGCACATGTAGCAACCATTAGGCTATTCTTTTTACATTTTCTGAACACGTTTTTAGACACGGACCCTATACTAATTCTAGCCAACACTAAAAAAAACTAAAACACCTATCAAAATTGATACAGAGATGCAACTAAACAAAGAAAACTAACTAAATAGGGAAACTTAAACCTAATACGTTGGCTAGATTGTACATCTTGGTTGCCTCCCAAGCAGCGCTTGATTTAACGTCGTTACACGGTATATCACACACTTTAACTAAACTAAGGTCCTATTATCCCAAACTTATTTTTTTGTAATTTTGTACACCTTTTGTCTTACGTGGCACACTCTGTGACTCCACGCAATTGAGGCGCGTGGGGAGATATTTGGATGCACCTAAGCCAAAAAAGGTGCACAAAAATTACAAAAAAAAATAGGGTTACAGGGGTAATAGGACCTTAGTTAGTTAAATTAGTGTTTCTGAGATTTCGGTCATAGTCTAATGCGGTACTTGTAGCTTTTCCCTAAATAGAATTACAAGTTTACTATATTAATCTTTGAAAAAATTACCGAGAAAAAATGATCGAATGGAAATTTATAAGTTTTTCCTACTGTTATTTTTTTATATAAACAAATATTTGAATTTTGACTATTATTAAACGGAGAAGGGTCTAAAATACCCTTATAGTATCGGAATTGGTACAAAAATACCCCTCTTTAACCTTTTGGCCTTAAAATATCCTTGGGGTTAACCTTTAGGGACCAATTTTGCCATTTTGACTAACGGACTACTTAATCCATATAATTTAATTATTTCATTTATTACGTGGCATGTTGTAATTGGTTGGAAATTTTTAATTAATTAAAATCTAATTTGTTTGACCCAAACCACCTGGATCCACCCGACCCATCCGTTCAAAATACCCAACCCATCCAAATAAAACACTCATTACAGTTGAAAAGGAGACAAGAATTGAAAAATTGAAGGCAAAGAGAGGAAAAGAAGCTACGACTTCAGATCAATTGACAGTTGAAAAAGGAGAAAAAGAATTGGCAAATTGAAGGCAAAGGGGGGTTGGGAAGAAGTTAGTTGCATTTATGTAGTTATGTTTTTTGTTTTCCAATGTTATGCAATGGCATGCTGAAACTTAATATTTTGCTTTTTTCCATGTTAATTTATCTTGAACAAGTGACCGTAAGTTTTTGTGGGTTCAAAACATATGACAATGTCATTACTACTGTCACGCCCCGAGCCTACACCCTGGGCGGGACCAACACCCAGAGACCATTGTTGGCCCCAGGCGAACCATTGGCCTGGCTTTCTTAACTCAGCGGAAACCTAACTCAACAGAATAACTCACTGCCATGCAAGGTTATAAAACAACTTAACTGATGCATAACATGCCAAATGGAATTTAGAGTGTCGGCCACGTCCAGGGTGTAGGCTTGGGTCATGACAACTGATTTTTTGGGTTTAAGGGTACCAAAAACCAGTTTAACAAGCTTTTCCGGCTACAAGAGTATTATTTGTTAGTTGTCCTTCACCTTTCTCTGAACAACAGGAATTTAGAGTGTTGTAAGAAAGTTTTATCCATTTTTTGCTTTAAATTTTCAGCAGTTAGCTATCTTGTTTCACCGCTTTACGCTCTTGACTATAAGTTTATAATTAGTTCTTGCTTCCAGGCCTTTAAGTTTCCGACACCTCCGGCTTGTTTATGATTTTGATAATTAGATAAAGTTTCATGACTATAATTTACATATTATTTGTTGATATCTTGCCATTTTTTGTTTTTGCGGTGCTTTGTCATTTCTCGTCTATGTATACAGTCTTATTTCTGAACTAGAGATCTTGATCGCGGCGAAGCGCGATTATTAAAATAAGCCATATCATTATCTATTAATTTAATTATAATATTAAGATTGTTTTGAAATGATGATAGAAAATGAAGGTTATCAAATTTAGCATTTATTAAATGATGGATAGGTAAACCACTAAATTCCATTCAAAATTTCATCAAGTATACCTAAAAATGGGACATATTTTGTTTTTTTTTCCTGTCACGATGAATTTTTCTCAAAATTAATATGATTATTGGCAGTAGCACTTAGAGAGTCAGAGTATTGGTTTGATATATATCATCTTATTAACTCATAGCCCATGCCCGAAAATCCAACAGTTCCCAAAACTCAATGAGGGCTCTTTTTTATCCATTAATAGCAATGAGGGGATGATGAGATTTATACTCAAATCAGCAGACACGCAGTATACTTGATAAGGCAAAAGGTACAAGTACCCCTCTATATTATGATCGAAATCTCAAAGACACACCTTAACTAAACTATATTACCCCCTGAATCCATTTCTTTTGTAATTTTATACACCTTTTTGGCTTATGTGACATCCAAATATCTCTCACGCGCCTCAATTGCGTGGAGTTACGGAGAGTGCCACGTAAGCCAAAAGGTGTACAAAATTAAAAAAAAAATGAGTTCAGGGGTAATTGAATTATTGTACATAAAAAAATTGGACCTGGAGTAGCTCCTCCCATGAGACATAATTCCGTCCATTTGCTACGCTGCAAAATGAACTAATTATGATAAATTCTTATCCACTGGAAGTAAGAAAACTGATTCAAGATTCTTAATACAAATATATAGCATATCTCTGTTGGTGCTTCTGGGGCTCTCTTTGGCCTTATTGGAGCTAAGTTTTCAGAGATTATTGCAAATTGGACAAGTCACACCAACAAGGTTAGTGCACTGTTCACTCTGTTGCTGATAGTTGTCATAAATCTGGCAGCTGGAATGCTGCCTCACGTTGGTAATTTTGCTCATATCGGTGGATTCATGACTGGACTTCTCCTTGGATTTGTTCTGCTCGTTCCTCCTCATGTAGGGCGGGCAGAAAGTGATCAGAATCTTCCAGTTGTTGATCATGTCTACTCCAAATATAAGTCCTATCGAAATGTCTTTGGACTGCTTTCTCTGATTCTACAGGTTACAGGGTCAGTCTAAGTACTATTTACTATCTATTGGTGTCAACAAATTTGGTATTTCCGATAGGATGATGATGGACCTGACCAAATAATCTTGTTTACATGAAACTGCAGGTTTACAATAAGATTGGTGATGGTATTTCGAGGAGTGAACGTACATGATCACTGTCATTGGTGTCACTACCTCAGCTGTGTTCCCACCTTTCTATGGAAATGTGATGGAACTTCCCAGTTTGGCATGTAAAGCACTCACTAGTTTATTATTCGTTTTAGCACTTTTTTGTTCTTTCTACTACGTACTACTAGGCAGTTAGATTTAGTTCATCTTAATGTATTAGAATATATAATATATAATGTTTCTTCTATCTCGCGGTTTCCTTTTCTTTTTTCTCAACTCACATATATATCAAGTACCTCTCAGTCCTGAGAGAAATAGCAGAAAAAATCAACAAAAACATCGTTGTGTTGCCAGGACTTTGAGTATACTAACAGAAAAATCACACCACCAAAAAATCTTAATTTTCATAACATATGATTTATTTGTTGAAAGTTGAAACTAACACTCCACTAATTGAAAAAAAGGAACAAATACTTCTTTGGAACAAATTCAATATGCTAAAATGACTAGTTAGTGATGACGAGCACAAGAGACGGGAGAAAGGTTGCAGTGAGAAGGAAGGCGGGCAGCAATACGAACAGTGTTGCAGATGCACTCATGATCCAGTGATTGGAGGGTAGCACAACACTCTGTGCTAGGAGTCGTATTCGATGTTCCTGGTAATACAAATGGGGAGCAGACGTTCAGGTTCCCAAGTGATGCCAAGCATGTCTGTGGCTCACCCTGAGATTCAATCACTTGGCTTTGCAGCAATACAGTTATAAGGATACTCAAAAGCACTAGGGAAAGAACAGATTTCAGGTCTGCCATAATATGATTGTTTTTAATCTATGCAGCTGACTTGTTTCTTCTTGTTAATTAGGATTTTGTAAATTTATATATAGTATTAAGGTAAGCAAAAGTGTGGAGTATATGAAGAATGACCTATCTGCATGAAGGACCTAATTCAATGTTTTGTGCCACTCAGCTTTTTTGTCTTTTAATTTGGCCTGCAATTTATAGTTAGACCATGACATAGTATCAATTGGTCCAATATGGTTACTATGCAGGGAACTCATTTTCCCCAAAATTTTGACCTAAATAATACAAAAGTAAAATAAATTAGCTTAACTAGTACAAAATCTGAATAGTTGACTAAAATAGCACAAACGTATTTCTCAGTAACGTCTTACTGAATATTTAGATTTGAAGTTTAAAATAGGCTTCTCTAGAAATGAAAACATGCATTTGTAGAGATCAGATACAGTTAGCACAGAACTCATGACTTCATTGGAATTGCAGAAGAATCACTAAAACCCTAGAGTTTACAATTTGCAAGTAATAGTACTACTACTACAATTTAACAAGTGAAAGAATACAAGAAAGAGAGGATGAACAACAGAAAAAAAGATTACAACAATGATGGCTTAAGTAGTTTTAGATGGTTGAGTAGCTGGAGCTGTCGAGTATGTCTTTACTGCAAAGAAAAGCTTCTCCCTCTCCAATGGACCATCTTCATGATCAACAATTTGACTATCCCAGTTCAGTCCATCTGCTATTCTTTTCACTCTGATCAATATATCTACGTCGTCTCGGATTATTACACTTCCCTCTGGCCTTAATATCCTATCCAATTCTAGCATAATATCTTCCATTTCACATCTGTTAAACAATAAACAAAAGCATTTTTTAGACTTCCATATCCAAGAAGGTAAAAGAACATGATCTTTTGAAGATCATAATTTACCTGTTTTCGTAGAGGGTAAATACGGAATCAGCATGAATGAGATCATATGTTCTTGGGTAAGTTGACATAGCCTCGCACCTATAGAAAAAAGTTAATATTCATCATAAAAGCAAAACTACAGGGGTAGGTAGATCCAGAATTTAGACAATATGAATTCTGAATTCAGAGCGTATGTGCTGAAATGTACATCTAACTCTGTCAATAGTACTAGCTTTCTGTGCACATAGCTATAGTCGACCTAAAATTAATGCTGCCATTTACTGGGGTTAGGGGGAAAATGTGAAGGAAGCATAGTAATTACCAGCTCTGGTATGTTCCGATTAGTCCTCGTTCATAAATAGCACCAAGTGTATTGACCTTAGCCTCAAGGGGAACTATATTCATCACCCAAACAGGATCATTGACCAAATTTGCAGCAAAGCCACCTAGGAATGCATTCATATCTAAGATATTTCTGTATCGCCCAGGCTGGTCAAGCTGGTTATTCACTGACTTGTAATAAGATACTCTTCTTTTCCATAGCTGTGAATCCTTCTGGAAAACTTCTTCTGTGACTCCATCTACAGTTCCCCTGCTTATCCTCGGTGGTATTACGTGTAATCTTTTAGGCCACTTTTCCAATTGTCCACCTGCCACCTCTTCTTCACTTGCAACTTTAGGCAAGGGAGTTAAACAAGTTTCAATCTTTGTATACCTGCAAATATCAAATCGACACGAAGTAATCTCAATGCTAAGAGAATTTGGATTGTAGGATAATACCAAATGTAACGATAAATCGAAGGAAACACGAACCAGGCTTTATCAGGATCTTGTGCAGGACACATTGGTGGGTTTTTGTTTCTGTTTCGAAATTCTGTACACTTCATATGATTGAACGGCTTCTGCCATATTGCGATATCATCCTTCTCAACAAACTTTTTCCAGCAGAGTCTCTTAGCTACTTGCTCAATTTTATTTTGTTCAGCATATAGGTCTTCCCTGGTTCTTTCCCAGCCTTTCCAATGTCTTTTCCAGTTGATCGGCGGGCCAGAGAGGATCCAAAATCCACCAGGTCTAAGGACTCTATCAACTTCAATCAAATACGTGCCATCATACTCCCCCCATGGAATTAGACAACGAGAGCAATGTGCCATGTCAAAAGCTCTAGATGGATATGGAAGCCTCTTGGAGGCAATAACTCCAATTAGAGCAGGTACTCCGCGCTCGAGAGCAAATTGAACCTGTGCTTCATGTGAATCCCTAGGTGCAAATGACATGGCTATGATATTTCGTGACAAAAGATAAGCTCCCCAACTCGCAACCTGCATATATTTTTAATGTTTCAATACAATTGTAAACATATTATCTTTGCTCAACATCATTTCCCTCTGCTTAATGCAGCAAATTAACTTTCTATGGTAAAAATAGAAGTTTTCATATATACAAATAAGAATCTTTATGTAGTAGAATTGTAGTAAAAGTTGTGTAATTAGCTGCTGAAAGATTCACAGAAGAAAATGAGATATCATGCATGGAGTGCCAGGTGTAGAATGAAGGAATTCAGGTCAGGAAAAAAAAAAGCTGCTTTGATTCCTCATGGACAAAAGAGCTTTTTGTCTAGATTCTAAGTACACCTCACTGGCCTATTTCTAATCCAATCTAAGCAAGGAACATCACTTTCCTAATTATTCCTACACATAATTCAACTTCTTGTAATCCCTCTTAGATCACTCTTTCACATTAATAGATTTCATTCATCATCAATGCTTAATCTAAATTTGTCCCACCCACTTCTTTTTTCATTTTTTATGATTGTGGTCATATTATTTCAGGCACATCAACTAATTCTACAGGATATTTGTCACCTTCCACCAACAATAGATACCAGGTAACTTTGTCTACAAAGACTATAATAGATTAGAGAATGACCTAATGTTTTTGTTTCTGCTAAGATTTGAACGAACTCATGACTCACAACCACTTCATTGACCACCAGACCACACCTGGGTGCAAATTTGTTTTTGCGGATCTATAAATAAAAGTTACTCACTATCATGGAGTAATTAATTGTCATTTCACTCGTGGTAGCGACATTCAAGAAGAAAATGTAACGAACAAGTAAAACAGAGAATATTTTGAGAAAGAAGGTAAAAATTACCCCACAGCCAGTATCAATGGCGGTTCGAATGGAGCCATCTTTAAGATTGATCAATTTCGCAATGTCATCAATATAAGCATCAGCACCATTAGGGAACATAGTTCCACCACCAGGAAATCTGAATTTGTCACCTTCATATCTAATCCAATTTTGAACGGCTTTTTCTACTGTCAATTCTTTATGAGGAACATTAGCATACCATGCAACATCTCTACTAACAGGCCATTTAAATGGATTCTTGTAACCGTACGGTGCAGGTATACGGCATTTCAAGAGTTCATTCTTTTCAGGGCAATGCCTTTCTCTGTAAATTAATCTTCTTCTGTTGAATTTCAATGATCTTTCAGGGTCTTCACATGGGGTATACTCACTGTACTTGATGTCGCAAACAGGGTAAATCTTGATTGCGTCATCAGGTGCTGTAACAGCTGCTCCGCCGTCTGCAGCGGAGTGATGGGTGGTGAAGTCTAGTTTTTTGGTGGTGGTTCTTGAAGATGGAGGATTTGTGGAGGTGTTTTTAGAAGGGAAACAGGGGAGGGAAGTGGTGGTGATGACGACACTGCTGCTGCCGGCACCGGTGCCGGTGGTGCTGCTTTGCCATAAACCGGTGAAGTAAAAAGCAGAGCAGAGAAAAGTGATGGCAATTAATGAATAAAAATTGGGTTTTTTCAAAGGTAAAGAAGAATGGTGGGAAGTTGGAGTGGGTTTGGAGGTTGGAGTATAGTAAGGGGTTGGATTAGAACCCGCCATGAATAGAGAAAGAGCTTTGTTTCCTACTCTGTTTCAAGGGTGAATTTTTGCCTTGAGGAGGTGTTTATAGAAGAAAGTGAGGAAGGGGTGGTGACTGATAGCGGCGGAGCTAGAATTTTCACGAAAAGGGTTCAAGATTTGAAGAAGTAAAAATAAGATCTAGTGGATTCGACATCTACCAATAATTTTAACTAGGTATATAATAGTATAATTTTTCATAAAAAAAGATTCGGATAAACTCCCGACCACAAGCTGCTCCTCCCCAGTGAAGGGTCGAGAAAAAATTATTATTCTCGTCAATAAAGTAAAAGTTCAAATAGTCGAGAAACTATTAAGATACCTAATTTGGGGGAGGATTAGAGATTTGAGAAGGGTTGGATGAAAAATAGGTGAGTTGTCAAGTTGTGTTTAGGGAGATGTGATGGGAGTAGTTTACTATGTGCATGGTTAGTAGATTACTAATTAGTTTTAATTATAGGTAGTAATTAACTACTAGTTGGACATGTGAGAAGGTGCTAGTTTTACAATGTGCAAATTAAGAAGAATATTACTATTATTACCATATTATATTTGTTAATTTGGCAAGTTATAAGTATAGAGAGCATTTTGTTTGGTTAATTACAAAGTGGGAAATAAGAACGAGAAAAGGAAAATTTACAAATGTATTTTCTGGGAATATCTTCATGAAGTTGTGATTAAAAATTGAATTTGAAGATTTAACTAATTTCGATTGACGTTTTGAGATAGAAGTTGATAGGAAACAAAATGTTTTTTTTTATCATTAAAATATTTGCAATGCCTTTAGGGTGATTTAGAACTGTTTGGGGGCGGTTTTGACTCATTAAAATTGTTGAACTGAGATATTCTTTTTAAATTTTATGTAAGTTTTTGGCAGATCTGCTTCTGCATTTTTGTCTTAAAGTGACAGTATAAAATGTGTTATTACAAGATTAAGAAAATCCAATAGGATAGGTTTTACTAGTTTGTATAACATGGTTCTACTCATTAACAGCTAGGGGCTAGCTACCACTAATTGGGTTTAATTTATTTTTATGAGTTTATAATTAACTGAACATATTCTTATATAATCTAGGGAAAAGGGTCTGATATACCCCTCAACTTTGTCATTCAGAGCTGATATAACCCCCGTTAAAGTGACTCATATATACCCCTACTTATATATAAATGGCTCACATATACCTTTTTCCTCTAAGGGAAATGAAAAAAAATTAATTTTAGTTTAATTTTTTTTATCATTTAAAAAAAATAAATATAATCCCATATGTGTATATTTTGATTCTTCTCAAACATTTTTTTTTTACTTTTTTTTGTTTAAATTGACTAAATTTGGATTTATTATTTTTATGGTCAAATTTATTTGTGTCTCACTAATATTCTTGTAAAACTTATTATAGATGACCAATTTTTTTCTTCAATTACAAAAATTAAATTACAATATCGACAAAAAAATAGTTTTAAATTTTTTTTCTTTACACTAAGGAATGAAAGAAAAAATAAAATAAGAATAAAAAACTCAAATAATGATAATCAAAGAAGTCAAAAAATAATGTATGTATGAAAAAGATTAAAATATACTTTGAACCTTGCTAGAAGAATCATATATACCCCTAAATATTTTTAAAAAAAATTAAAAGTCAAAAATATAAATTTAAAACTAATTTTTTCACTTCCGTTAAATGAAGGATATATGTGAGCTCATTTTGTAACGGTAGGGGTATATGTGAGCCGTTTGTATAACGGTAAGGGTATATATGAGCTACTTTCATAACGAGGGGCATATCAACTCCATATGACAAAGTTGAGGGGTATACCAGGCCCTTTTCCCTATAATCTAAGCAAATACTATGAGAGGTGGGACGGAAAATATAGGTGTGTAGTGATGGAGATGGGGATGAAGATAGGTATGTCGGAGGGTGGGTTGATACAATCAATGCAAAATGTCACTTGTAAAACTTATATTTCAATTTCTATTGAGAAAATATATTCTCCTATTTTAAAAGAACTATTTTCCTAAAAAGATAATTTTTATAAAATTTAACCAATCAAACATAAAAAAATTTAAAAACTATCGACCGTTCTTAATGAAAAAATGGAGCCTAACTATCAAACGTGAAGACAACGGAGGGCTTAGAACGAAGTTATTTAAAATCCCAACGAAGACTAGACTACAAAATAGGGGCCACAAATTTTGAGGATTGCTACGATTGTCCTTGTTATTTAATCAACTTTTTAGTTCAATCGAATAAAATTACTTCATTGATTTAATTAAAATTTATATGCAGATCTACACAAAAAGACTCATATAAAAAAGTACTAACAATATTCACCTTAACTTATGTTGAAAAAGCCAAGTCACACAATATTTTAGAATAGAGGAAATATATAACCCCTCTCTCCTTATTTACTTGTCTATTTTTTACTTGACACATCTATTAAAAAGATGATAATTGACATAGCTTACCATTTTACCCCTATTAATTAATAGAATTCCAAAATCAATCTACTCATTAAAAAAAGTTCTACCTATTTCAAAAATATTAACTCTCTAAATAAATTAAGGTATAATAGGTAAAACAAAAATATTGTCTTTTCTTAAACAAAGAGTATTTATTTGCATATGCTAATTGTGTATGCCCACTTTAATTTAAAGAAATTAACGGTTAATAACACGAGAGTATGGATATGATTTTTTTCAAATGGTAAGTTGGTAACAAATAAAATTTATAAAAATCTTTGTTTCAAATTTTAAAATTAAATTGAAGAAAAAAGAAGAGTTTATAAACAAGCAAATAAATTAAGGAAAAAGGCTCTCAATGTATTCAATTGAAACCTTGACCAATTAATTGTCTTGACGAAGATGGCGGTAATAGTCATTGGATGATTCAAGACAAAATTAGTGTACGATGAAGTTCGAGGTCGACTAGTCATTTGTTTTCTGTTTCATCTTATAATAATACTTTCTCCGTTTCAAAATAAGTTATGTTTTTATTTTTTTATTTTATTTCATTATAAGTAATATTTTACATAATCAATAAGATTAATATTATTTTTTTATCAATTTACCCCTAATAAATACCTTTTTAATGTAGTTCTTTAGTAGTTTTTAAGTATGTAAAACTCTCTCAATTTAAATAAGTATAAAATTGAAAAAAAATATTATTAATATCTTCTGATTATTATGAAATGGAAAAAGTTTTATTTTGAAATGGAAGGAGAACTACTGCAAATTGAAAAAATATGATTAATGAAATGGAAAAAGTTTTATCTTGAAATGGAAGGAGAAGCAATTGAAAAAACATCATTAATATCTCCTTAATTATGTAAAAAATACCACTATTATAAAAAATAAAAAATAAAAAGATAAAGATATCATTTACTTCATCTGTTCACTTTTACTTATCACTTATTCCTAAAATAAATTTCATTTTTACTCGTCACTTTTGACATATTAAGAAAATACAATTGTCAGCATTAAATAATTATTTTTCAAGACATTATTATAATTTTATCAGTAATTATTTTCTTAATAGATGTGTCAAGTCAAATTATGAGAAGTAAAAATGAATTAATATTGAGGGAGTAGAAAATTAGGAATAAATGCTTTACTACGCATAAAATCAATGTCATTCTGGTCAGATTAACTCCAATTTAAGCTTCAATGCTAATCTGGTCAGATTAGTAGTTAATATCTAGGTTTATCCAGTTAAGGATGGACCTTTCCAAGCTCTCTCGTCTTTCAAGATTTTGTCTATCTCAAGGAAAAGCTTTTAAATATACTTTATTCATTCATACTTACTTTATCCAGATTTGATATAATTTTAAAAAAAATTAAATCAGTTTATTTTATTAAATTAACTTTATTAATTTTGTTTTAAATTTTTAAATTTTACTAATATTTTTTACATAGTTATTTATACCAAGAATATAATGAAAAGTAAATAATAAAATTTTCTTAATTTGTTAAAATGGACAAGTAAAATAAGACTCTATTTCTAGAGTTAAAAACGTAGTTATGTGTATTATCTGAAATTGAGGAGCATGTCGATCGCTAACGTCCTTGTATTATCAGTTTTCACCTAGTTGCAGTATTAATTTTTTCTATCTAATCTCTCGACCTTTTTAAAATAAATAAACAAATTTTTGAACCATTGTGAAAATTGCCATTTGAACTGATTATCAAATTGGAAAATTACATGGTAAGGTAAAATATGCTACATATTTATTATATATAATTATAGTTTGATAAAAATTACTTCTTCGGTTTATTTTTATTTGTCATTTAATTTTAAAATAAATTTTCATTTTTACTTGTTACTTTTGACACATATTTGTTTTAGTATTATTGTATCAAATATATTTGTTTGTAGGTAATATGGATTACATATTTATATCAATGTATCAAAGTTTATTTAATATTCCTTGTTATTCATTTACATGTCTTGCAACTTATTATAAATTTGTATCAATGTATTCAAGCCTATTAGTTTCTTGTTTTATATTTATATCATGTATTTGAATATATTTTTGTTCATTACTCTATTATATAATTGTATCAATGTATTTGTGACCACTTGATGAAATTTGGAGGGAAGTGAGGTAAATGACTGATGGTACTAGAAGGATTTCTCTTTGGATAATAAGTACTGTAACGGGTATTCTTGTAATTGATTTAATAGGTATTTTCTTTTATGGTTCATATTTCGAGTTGGGTTCATCTCTAGTAGTAATCGAATGAATTGAGTTGTCAACATGAAAGCGTAAGAAACACAATAGATTCCTAACATCTCGCATAAAAAGAATATGTAATGTAGATTTTTCAATATTTATTGCCGCTAAAAGTTATTTTTATGGTAGTGATAAGACAAAGGAATTTTCATAATTTCAATACGGATAGTGTATTCATCATCAAAATGCATTTATATCAACATTGTACCAACGTATTCAAGTGAAAAAAAACTATAACAAAATAAAAATCTATATCAATATTGTACAAGTATGATACAACAAAATCATTGAAGAAGAA